TCTGTTCACGTCTAATTGCATAATAGATAACATAAATTTTGTACCCAGTTAAGTTGATGGATGTTTCCTGTCTCACTTATCATTAAGATAGACAGTATGAGTGCACGTCGCGCACACGCATGGTTATGGCCAATTTACTGGATGAATCTATCATTGACTGTCAAATTAGTCCACATGCAAGCATCCTTGTTTTGCTGCTCAGTAATGGTTCAAAACTGAGGGAATGGAAGGGACACATTAGACCTTATGGCTGTTGCGTGCAATCATCTTCCTGGTGGGTCTCATTGTTCTTTTCCGTTATTTGCCATGAAACACGATTGTCCACAATATATTCCTATTTGGATGGTACAGAGTGATAATCTGGCACGATATGTGATGCTGTGTACTATTTGAAACCAACAGAAGTAGCATTACATACTGTGGCATTGCAATTAGTCTTTAACAAATAACGCTTCAGCGTAAAATTGGCATGGGCGAGTTGAAAAATTCTTTTCAAGGCCACTGGTGTCTGGATAGCAATACAGTGATTATTTCACGCCATTGTCTCATTGTAATGACATCCAATTGTTATATTTTTGTTGACTGTTTGGTTTCTGATTTTATGGTACTATGTAATGTCGTGTAGACTGTAGTGCATGTGTAACCAGCTTGGAGCAATTGAACAATATGTATATGTTTGCATAAATTTTTCATAATCCGTTTTGAGAAACCAAAGGGTGTTGTGTAGTGTCTTAAAATATAGCTCTTGCAGATTATATGTTCGGCTAATTTCAGCACTGAGATTCGTCTGGGTGTGATACATTTCACAAGTGGCGTTATCAATAAACTTCCAAACCATGTTAGTCAAAAAGTAATTTGCTAAATTTCCATGGGCTAATGCTTTGGTCCACATGGCAGATAATTTAATAGCTTCATTGGTTATTTGCCCAGACTTAGCAATATTATTTTGCAGAAACTCAATATCCATGGACTTTAGCACATCTGTTAATGTCCCTGCCCATCTCGAACAGAGGAGAGTTCAGCCCTCCTATCTCACTCTTCTAATGCCAATTGTGTGTATAAAAGGCAGCAATGAGGAGTTCCAAGGTTTATCTCTACCGTCACAGTTAAAACAATATATAGTTTGAACTTCGGTGTCGTACAACCACTGAAAATAGCGTAACCATATGGCTTTTCGTGGACCCTGAAACATGGCCCACCACAGTGTCACTTTATGGTGGTTTGCGCCCAATTATCTCTGTAACATTTTGACGTAATAATCAATCATTATTTCTAAAAATCACATTTCACTATTACTGTCACTCAGCATCTACCTTAAGTGCTGTGTACAGAAATTCATTGTCATACTCCAATTGTGGAGTAAGGCTAATTATCACATCAATTTATTGCAGTTAATCAAGGGTGCTGAATTGTCCACTTAATTTGTCCGGTAACCTGGGAGTCTAGCGTGGGCAATAACCAGGTCTCACAAGAAGGGTACAAGTATAACACAGTGTGGGGCTGGAGAAACACAGCAGGCCAGGCAGCATCAGAGGAGCAGGAAAGCTGACGTTTCGGATTGGGGCCCTTCTTCAGAAATGGGGGAGGGGAAGGGGGGTCTGAAATAAATAGAGGGGGGTCAGTGATAGCAAGTAAGTAGTGGTGGGGAATGGTCAGTGAGGTGGGAAGAGCGGGTAGGTGGGAGAAAAGACAGACAGGTTAATGAGGCGGGGATGAGAGGGGGGCTGGTCTTGGAACGAGGTTGGGAGTGGGTAGATTTTGAAGCTAGTAAAGTCCCCATTGAGACCATTGGGTTGTAAGCTTCCAAGGCGGAATGTAGGTGCTGTTCCTCCAGTTTCCAGATGACATTGTCATGACACTGGAGGAGGCCCAGGATGGACATGTCATCCAGGGAGTGGGAGTTGAAGTGGTTCGCCGTGAACCGAGAGTAAGTGCTCTACAAAGCAGTCTCTGGGCCTTCGCTTGGTCTCACTGATGTTGAGGAGGCCACATCGGGAAAAGTGGATACAATAGACCACATTAGCAGATGTGCAGGTGAATATCTGTTTGATGTGGAAGGTTTTTTTTGGGGCCTGGGACCGAGGTGAGGGGGGAGTTTTATGGGCAGGTGTAGCAGCTCCTGTGGTTACAGGGAAAGGTGCCGGGGGTGGTGGGGCTTGTGGGGAGTGAGGAGTGGATAAGAGAGTCATGGAGAGAGCGTTCCCTCCGAAGGCATATACAGGTGGGGAGGGAAATGTATCCTTCGTAGGGGTCAGATTTCAGGTGGCAGAAATGGCGAAGAATGATGCATTGAATCCAGAGGTTAATGGGGTGATATGTGAGGGCAAGGGGAATCCTGTCTTTGTTTTTATTGTGGGGAGGGAGTGTGAGGGCTGACGTGCGGAAAACGCAAGAGATGCAGTCGAGGGCATTTTCGACCACTGAGGGAGGGAAGTTGTGGTCCTTGAAATACGAGGACATCTGGGATGTTCGGGAGTGGACGCCTGATCTCGGGAGCAGATGCAGTGGAGGCGGAGGAATTGGGAGCAGGAGATCGCATTCTTGCAGGAAGGTGGGTGGGAGGAGGTGTAATCAAGCCCACCAACTCCCACAGCTATCAAGCCCACCAACTCCCACAGCTACTGATATCTATTTCAAGCCCACTGACTCCCACTGCTAACAAGCCCTCTTCCACAGCACCTCCCAGTTGTGAACCACTTCAGCTCCCCCTCCCTCTCCCTGGACGACATGCCCATCCTGGGCCTCCTCCAGTGTCACAAAGATGCCACCAGGAAACTGGATGAACAGCACCCCATATTCCTCCTTGGAAGCCGACAACCAAATGGTCTCAATGTGGACTTTACAAGCCTCAAAATCTTCCCACCCCCCACGTCATCCCAAGACCACGCCCCCATCCCACATCGATGACCTGTCCGTCTTCTCTCCCATCTATCCGCTCCTCCCACCTCACTGACCAATCCCCACCACTACCTACCTACACTCACCTTTACTAGCTTCATCCCCGCCCCCCTGACCTGTCCGTCTTCTTTCCCACATATCCGTTCCTCCCACCTCACTGACCAAGCCCCACCACTACCTAACCGACACCCCCTCTCTATTTATTTCAGAGCCCCCTTTCCTTCCCCCATTTCCGAAGAAGGGTCCCGACCCGAAACGTCAGCTTTCCTGCTCCTCTGATACTGCCTGGCCTGCTGTGTTCATCTCGCTCCACACTGTTTTATCTCAGACTCCAGCATCAGCAGTTCTTACTATCTCCAAGGGTATAAGTATCATTGCATGCATGAAGTTAGCATATTGCACCGTTCGCTCGGTGGACAATTAAAATTGTCTTGTGTTCAGTAATCAGTGTCACAACTCCCACCTCTGGATCCCATCACTTAGCGACAGTGTTTCAGCAATGACAGATCGTTTGCTACACAATGCAGGAGAAATCACAGGTGCCACAGTGTTCGGCACATCTTGAGTCAGCTAGAAAACGTTTCTGCTATCGATTTAAGATCTGATATTCATCCCACCCTAATCGAGAGATTTATTTTACTCCTCCATCTAGACATACCAGTATACTTTTACTCTGTGGTAATATCCAATAAGTGACCTCCTGTCCATGAGTTAACCCCTCTCTGGGATTGACTGGCTGGTTAGGATCATGAATCTCCATCATGTCCTCATTGCCGAGGTGTGATATTTTCACCTCATTATGGCTATTGATTAACTGTCCTCGGATATTACCTATGACTTTGTTACTCCTATTTTGGGTGTCGGATTTTCAGGTCCTATTCTGCTTGGGACAGCATCTGAAACCATCCTTTGAATGTGTGCATGTGTGACAATAGTTTATTATTTTGCTTAATAAGCCCCTTCATACGTTCTACCAACCCCGCTGCCTGTAGATAATAGGAATTGTGATGATCCATTGGATCCCATTGTCAAGAACCGATTGCTGCACTTCTTGTACAGTGAAAGGTGACCAATTATCAGTTTGCATTTTCATTGGCTCCCTACATCGTAAAATCGGTTTGCTTTTACACAGGAGAACAGAAACATGAGGCCCAAATAAGTGTCTACCAAGTTCAAAACATACTGACGGCATTGTTACAAGGACCATACAGTCCAATTGGCAGGTAAGGTCAGGTCTTGCGCCTCTATGAGTGGATGCTAAAGGCCTCTTCTTCATTCCACCTGAGGGCAGGTATGGCATTGCTCTGCTACTTTGTGAGTAATACCAAGGATAAGAAGAATCTCTCACTCCACAGCACGTTATTTGGTACCTGAGACATCCAAATATCCAAATTAGGTATGTGCCCACGAGCCAAACAGCTTAAGCACTTCTTCTGTAGTTAGCCAAACAATGTGTATCTTTGTAAATCAATCAACTGTGACATTGTGCAAACCATTTCAGAGATGTTCCTGGTATGGTCATCAACATGATACAAGGTGATGGAGCATCATTGCGCTTCTTGAAGATCTTCTTCCACAATGATTGCTCACATAAGGGCGTCCATTTGTCATCTATTTGTTGCACTGCCATATTGTCATCCAAATTGCCATATCGTTGGCAACGAGCCAGAAGTCATTGAAAACATGCTCCACTTCACTTCTGTTTCTCAGGCAAAGACTACGGATGTTAATTGCACCAACTGACTGAAGCCATCCATGCCTTGTTCTTCTGCATTGTCTGCTTTTGTGGCTTTCCATTGATGGTTTTCATAACCATAGGTTGCAGCAATATTGAGTCATCCAGGCATATATTTCTTTGTGTGCTTCTAAATGTTAGAAAGGAAACCCCCATTTTATTGGCTAACCAGGAATAGGGCCAGGTGGGGGGCTGCTTCAGCATCACTGGAATGTATGGCAATCTCTTTGTGGAGACTCGAAAATCTGTTCTGCTCCTTAGTTACACTTTTGTGATTTATATTTTCAATTAATTATAGAGCTCTGTTGCGCTAGTTCCACCTTGTTAGTGGTATTTTCAGGCAACATTCAAGTCATGTTAGGGAGTTATGGCCTTAAAAGAATCTCATCTGTTCCAGTCACACCTTCAGGTACCCAACAAACTGCTAACAGTCTCTACTCAAACGCAGTATAACTTTGGGCGATTTCAGAAGTCTGCGGCCAAAACCCGAGCAGCATTTTGCTGCAAAATCCAAGCAAGCACATTGTCTGTCACAGGTACATACAGTTCTAAGGTTGTTTCAGTATACAAGGAGTCAGAGGAACTGCTTGAGCAAGCGCCTACTTAGTAGCTTCAAAAGCCCTGTGCTGTAACGGGCCCCATTCAAATGCTGACGTTTACTGACTGGCAGCGTAAATAGTTGGCAGAAAAAGTGGTTAAATGAATCACGTGCCTTCTCCAATAACCTAAAAGAACCGCAAAGTTTGACCATGAATTTCTGTTTATTTCTATTTCTTGAATGATTTGTGATAGAGATGTCTGGCCGCAGGTCGTGAGACTAGACTCCCTTTATTGTTTCATATTACGGTCTCAGTCTTTTTGATGGAATCAGCTGTGAGATTGGAATGTGCTGCTGGAGTATCTTTGCCGAATTTCTGCAGTGCATCTTGTAGATGGTGCACACTACTGTTACTAAAGGTTGGTAGTGGACTGAGTGGACGTTTGCGGATGTGACGCCAATCAAGCAGGCTGCTTTGTCATGATGGTGTCAAGCTTCTCGAATGTTCATGGAGCTGCATTCATCCAGGTGAGTGAGTAAAATTCCACCACACTCCTGCTTGTGCCTGTAGATGGCGGATAAACTTTGGGGAGTCAGCAGGTTAGTTACTTCGAACAGCTTTGCCATTTTTGCTGCCATATTCTCAGGAAACAGTGAATGAATGCATTTCATTGCTCTTTGTTAATTATCTTGAAACAGAGTTGTTGTACGATTAAGATTAAGAACGAAAATATGAATTTTCAGTCAAACTATTTTTGTCTTACTATGTTTCAATTTTGATAACTTTACTAATTACATTTTCTTTTCATTACAGCTAATATAGTCACAATTTTTATTCTTTCCCGTGGTAAATGCGGACTCTCCAAATGCATAACCCGTTATCTGGTGGCGATGGCAGTAGCCGACCTAATGATCCTGATACTCGAAGTAATACTGTACGAAATTAAAGATGCGTATTTTCCTTATACATTTCTGAATTACACTCCCATTTGCAGTCTCAACATGGCCTTACTTTTTATTTCAATTGATTGCTCCGTTTGGATAACTGTCGCTTTTACCTTTGATCGATTCATTGCTATTTGTTGTCAAAGACTTCGAGCAAAATATTGCACTGAGAAAACTGCTGCTGTGGTGATAATAGTTGTGTTCTCATTAAGTTGTTTGCAGAATGTCCCAATATACTTCATTTATGAACCACGGGAGTTAATTGACAATGTTCCATGGTCCTGTTATGTGAAGTCAAGTTTCTATACTTCACCCTTATGGATAGCATTTTTATGGCTTGAAAGTCTTTTGATACCATTTCTTCCTTTTATTTTTATTTTAATGCTCAACTGTCTGACCACGAGGTATATTCTTATGGCTAATAGAGTGAGAAGTGTTCTCCGAGGTAACCATAGTGCGGGTAGTAATAATGACCCAGAGATGAACAATCGAAGAAAATCCATCATTTTACTGCTCGCCATTTCAGGCAATTTTATAATGTTATGGATGGTGATTTTCATATATTTCTTGATTGTGCAGTTTGCAGATGTACAATTTTTCGAAACGAGTTATAACGACTCTTTCACCATTATGGAACAAACTGGTTATATGCTTAGCTGTTTGAGTTCATGTACCAACACATTTATTTACGCAGTGTCTCAGAGAAAGTTTAGAGAGGAGCTGAAGAACATGACTAAACATTGTCTGACTCCCATTACTCGTGTAATCAAATAAATTGAGCAGCTTACTGAGTCAAGGGGCAATTTTATTCTCTCAAAAGTCACCTAAGCCTTGCTTACTCAACTGTCGCGTACAAGTAGGCGTCTCAAAGGCATTTGGAGCTGCAGCCTAATTTCTATGTTCGACGATTTAGTCTATGGTCTGAAAAATACATCAGGTAATACGTCATTAAAGGATTTAGTCACTGTGAGTGGAGACTTAATCTGTGTGAGACACAAATGGAATGAGCATAGCTGTGAATCTGTTTAAATGGAAGAATTTTGATGTAACATTTTTCCAAGTTCAGGTTTAGAATTAAAGTCAGATTCAGACAATAGACTTGAAGTAAATTAGATTTCTTCGATTAAACGAGGTAGTTAAATATTAGAGGCAGTTATTATTTAGGGGCCATAAATCCTTGTCTAATAGAAGTGCTGATTACTCAGCTCTGATAATCCAGATAAGAATTTGATTTCAAAGACACAGAATTATTGCCCGGCTCTAAGGGTAGCGACAACGGTTGTTTCATTTCTGTTTTCAAAATAAATGCATGTCATACATGAAGGTACAAATACAATTAATTAGGTGAACGTTTTTTTTTAAAGTCAGGATATATTTTAATTATCATATTAAACCATAATAAAATATTTATATTCCCGAGGGAGAGCGTGTGACAAGACTGAAAGACAAAAGTAATGGAGTGCCGTCGAAAATTTTACAGCCACTGACTGCCAGATGCTAACCTCGCAATATGTGAACTAAACTATTAGAGTACATTCCACTCAGTTATTGGTACTGACCATACATCAGTAAAAACTGAAAAAAAAGTTATGAAAACTGAAGATAGGCAAAATCGAAGTGTTACCAACGTGTATAAAATCAAGGAAACGGACTCCCATCACAAAGGTCAAATGCTGAATGACAGCACAGCCAGATTCGTATGCCAGGTAAGATTTTTAGGCAGAGAGAACACACCACAGTAGGAAGGTCACGAAAAACTACAGCGAAACGAAAAATTTGACTGCAAGTGCAGGCAGGAGGTTCTTGATCAAATCTAAAAGATAAAGTAGGCCTCGTCTCACTTTTGTGTGATAGATGACTGCTGGTGGTTTACCTGAGCGTCATCAAGATAACCACAGCTGGCGTGGGAATAGAACTCACACTGTTGGTATTACAAACCTGCTGTCGAGTTTACCAACGTCATCTGACCTACGGATTATTTTTTAAAAAGTGAAAAAGTGAAAATCCAGGAAACAACAAACATAGATGCCCTATTTCTGATCATAACTCAAGGGAACTCCACAGATAAAAATTACTTATCAAAGGAATCTTGTTCGCAGAAGAAACATGTGAAGAAAAACATATTGACTGTTGAACCAGAAGAAGGTGCAAATTAACAACATCAAAGAACAAAGAGAAGAGGATCAACACAAGAAGTAGGAGCTAAAAGTGAAGCTTCAGTTGCTACCAACGAGTTAGATGACAAAATTGGAAGAGTCAAAACAAAAAGACGTTTTCTGTTCGAGCCTGTTTGCTGGCGCACTTTGAAGTGGCAGACAAAGGAATTTTGGAGTTATAGAGTCCAATAGCACGAGACTCTTTCTAGTTTAATAACACCATTCGTATAGCAAGTTAATCAACTCTACTCAAATGCAGCCTCACCAACGTCGTGTACAAATGCATCATAACTTTACAATGTCTATACTCAAAATGCTGAATGATGAAGGCCAGTGCGCCAAAAGCTGCCCTGTCTACATGTGACTACACTTTCAGAGAACTGTAAACCTGATCTCTAAGGTCCCTCTCTTCCACTACACTCCTTAAGGCCCTACCATTCACCATTAAACTCCCATCTGGATTTGACTTTCCAAAATGCAACACCTCACACTTATCTATATTAAACTTCATTTGCCATTGAGGTTGGTTGGCTCGCCGAGCTGGTTTGTTGTTTTGCAGACGTTTCGTTACCATGCTTGGTAACATCCTCAGTTCAGCCTCCGATGAAGCGTCGGTGTGTTTTCCCACCTGGTTTTTAAACACTGGGGTCCGTTGAGATGGATTGCCTCACTTCCGGTTTTCCTTCATAGTGGAATGTATATGGGGTCGAGTTCAATGTGTTTATTAATAGCCTGCTTCGTGGAGAGCCATGCTTCCAGGAATTCTTGTGCTTGTCTCTGCCTAGCCTGTCCCAGGATCTTACTGTTGTCCCAGTCAAAGTTGTGGTTCTCCTTGTCCATGAGGATTGAGATGAGTGAGTATTGGTCCTGTCTTTTTGTAGCCAGTTGGTGTTCACGTACTCTTGTTAGTTTCCTTCCTGTTTGTCCGATGTAATGTTTAAGTGTTGTAGTGTTTAGAGCCAACCAACCTCAACACCCACAACCCGAGCTACAGATCTACTCCAAAACCTTCATTTGCCATTTCTCGGCCCACTTCCCCGGCTAATCAAAATCCTGCTGCAATTTCCAATAAGCTTCCCCATTGTCTATGATACAGCCTATTTTAGTGTCATTCACAAACTTACTAATCATGCCTTGTACGTTGTCATCCAAAACATCTATATAGATAACAAACAGCAATGGGCCCAGCACTGACCCCTGAAGCACATCACTAGTCGCAGGCCTCCAGTCCAACAAGCATCCTTCCACTATTACCCTCTGCTTCCTACCATCAAGCCAATTGTGTATCTAATTTGCCAGCTCTCCTTGGATTCCATGTGATCTAACTTTTCAGAGCAGCATATTATGTGGAACCTTGTCAAAGGCTTTATTGAAATCCATATAGATTACGTCTACTGCCCTGCCCTCATCAACAACCGTGGTCACTTCATCAAAGAACTTTAACAAATTTGTGAGGCATGATCTCCCATGCATAAAGCCATGCTGACTATTCCTTTTCAAACCCTGCCTTTCCAAATGCATGTATGTCTTATCCATCAGAATATTCTCAAGTAACTTACCTACCACAGATGTTAAGCTTATCAGTCTATAATTCCCAGGGATTTCTTCACAGCCCTTCTTGAATAAGGGTACAATTTTCACTACCCTCTAGTCTTCCAGGATTTTATCCGTGGTTAACGATGATGCAAATATATCAGCCAGGGCCTCCGCAATTCCTTCCTTAACCTTTTGCAGGGTTCTCGGATATATCTGGTCAGGACCAGGAGATTTATCCACCTTCATACATTCTAATACTTCCAACACCTCCTCTACTGTGATATAGACTGTCCCCACGATATCACCACTAACTTCATCAAGTTTCCAAGTCTTCATGTCTTTCTCCATGGTCAACACGGAGGAGAAGTATTCATTAAGGGCCTTACCCAACTCTTGCAGTTTTACACATACATGTCCACTTTGGTCTTTGAGGGGTCCTATTGTCTCTCTAGTTATTCATTTTCCTTTAACATACTTAATAAGTCTCTTCTTCAGTAATGTGCTGTATCCCCCATTACCTCCAGGGATTCTCTTGATCACAGATGCCTGTTCCTGAGCCATGCCACCTTCCTTTCTTTTGGTCAAAGCCTCAATACCTTTTGACATCCAATGTTCCCTACTCCTGCCAACCTTGCCCTTCACGGTCACATGAACATAAAGATCTTGAACTCTAGCTATCACACTTCAAAAGGCCTCCCACTTGCCAGAGGTACATTTGCCTGCAAACAAACGACTCCAATCAACCCCTGTAAGCTCCTGTCTAATTCCATTAAAACTCGCCTTGTCCCAATTTAGAACTCGAACCTGTGGACTAGTTTTGTCTTTTTTCATAACAATTTTAAAATTAATAGAACTATGGTCACTGGTCCCAATGAGTTCCTCCACTGTCACCTGTCCTGCCCTATTTTCTAAGAGTAGATCAAGTTTTGCCTCTTCCCTTGTGGGGTCTTCTATATAGTGCTTAAGGAAATCTTCCTGAACATATTTAACAAATTCTACCCTATCTTATCCATTAACGCTATGGCAGTTCCAGTCAATGTCAGGAAATTTAAAATCCCCCACAATGACAAAGCTATTGCTCCTGCAAGTCTCCCCAGTCTCCCAGCATATTTGATCCTCTAATTCCCATTGACTATTGGGGATGTATAGTACAATTACCAATAATGTTGCCATCCCCTTTTTATGTCTTAGCTCCACCCACAAAGCCTCACTGGATGATCCCTCAGTTATTTCATCTCTTGACTACCGCTGTGATACTCCCCTTAATCAAAAATACAACTCCCCTTCCCCTCTTTCCTCCAACTCTGTCCTGCCTAAAGCACCTGTACCCCTAGCACATTAAGCTACCAGTCCTGTCCCTCCCTTAGCCTTGTTTCTGTAATGGCTATAATATCCCAGTCCCACAAACCTAACCATGCCCTGAGTTCATTGGCCCTACCTCTTGCATTGAAATAGATGCAATTTAATCCAACAGGCATTCCTTGCTCCCTGTCCTGTTCTATCCTGACCTAACTCTTCAACTTGCTATTTCTGCTTACTGTATCTCCTTCCAGGCTCGCGCTTCTGTTTAGGATCCCATCCCCCGCCAATCTAGTTTAAATGCTCCCTTGCAGCACTAGCAAATTTGCCTGGCAGGATATTGGTCCCCCTCCAGTTCAGGTGCATCCCGTCCCTCTTGAACAGATCATCTCTGCCCAAGAAAAGATCCTATAATCCAGGAATCTGAATCCCTGCTCCCCTGCATTAATTCTTTAGCCACACATTCATTTGCATGTCCTCCTGTTCTTATGTATATTCCATTGGAAGTAATCCAGAGATTACCACCTTCGAGGTCCTGGTTTTTAACATTTTTTTTCTAGCTCTCTATAATCACTCCACGGGACCGCATCTTATTTCCACCCATGTCATTTGTGCTAACGTACACAATGATTCTGGCTGCTCACCCTCCACATTGAGAACGTTCTGCAAGCACTCCAAGACATTTCGGACCTGCCACCTTCCGCAGCCACAGAATCTCCTGTCTGTCCCCCTAACTATCAAATATCCTATCACTAAGGTCCTGTTTACCTTTACCCTTTCCCG